ATTCTATATGCATCCGAAGAAGTGGGCTGTAGTCCACGAAAGCTTATGCTCTAATAAATTTGGTAGTCTCTAAGGTGCCACAAGTACTCCTGTTCTTCTTTTTGCGGATACAGACTAACACGGCTGTTACTCTGAAACCTGTCATAAAAACAAAAGGTTTCTGAGAAAGTGATTCAAAATATCACAATAGCAATACAAAAATTTGTGTATATTAAGCAACAAAATAATCGATTCTTGTGTCCTTATTAAAAAAGTCTCTATTTTTGTCTTTGTTTTCTCAAAAGAGAGCACTACACCCACTTATGAAACTACTACAAGCATTCCTGAGATCACTACAACTACGACACCAGAGCCAACCACCACTTGTAAGCCCTATTTTCTCTTTGCTTTACTAATATTGTATCTATTTTATATTGTACCCACCTACTGAAAATATAGAATAGAATTTTACAGTTTAATGACCATATTCATTTACATGAAATCACTAGCATGATGACTGGATGATGGAGCTAGGCTGTTCTCAGTGGTGGCAGATGTGAGAGAACAAGAAGTAATAGTCTCAAGTTGCAGTGGGGGAGATCTAGGTTAGGTATTAGGAAAAGCTATTTCCCCCACTAGGAGGATGGTGAAGCACTGGAATGCGTTACCTAGGGAGGTGGTGAAATCTCCATCTTTAGAGGTTTTTAAGGCCCGGCTTGAAAAAGCCCTAGCTGGTATGATTGAAGTGGGGTTGGTCCTGCTTTGAGAAGGGGCTTGGACTAGATGATGTCCTGAGGTCTCTTCCAACCCTAATTTTCTATGATTCTATGACTGCAGAAGACTAAGCATATGAATAATAACTGTGGGTAACATGAGCTTTGAAAGACTGTATCATAGGAGAAAAAACTGATCAGTGTTTTTGAGGAACGCAGTGAGTGAAGAAGGCAGTGGATGTAATATATCTGGACTCAGATGTAAGACATCTGGTCACTATATCAGAAACATTCCTTGGACCCTTTAGTTTGTATTGGCCTGGACCTAAGTATTGTCACATGGGTTAAAATAGAAAGATGAGTGCTTAAAGAAGCACCGTGATGTGCAGCAATGTGTCAACTTTAGCTGTAGCGACCAGAGAGTTTTCGCAGGGACTGATGCCAGAGGAGGATTTCAGAGGGGGCTGGGAATCTTTACGGGAGTCTGAAGTCAGAGCTGCTCTGATACGCTACCGTAACCCTGGAGGCAGCAGCTCTTCATGGGAGGGAATGTAATCACAGAACAGTCAGCCCCTCTCACACTTTGCCATAAACCTCCCTTTTTGCAGGGGTAGAAGGAGCACCATGAGCAGAGTTTTGGGGCACACACAGTGTGGACCCCGTATGAAGTTCTCCAGACAACATTGTATGTTAGAAAAATTTATGCTTTCAGAACAAGTTACTGCAGTTATACAGGAGAAAAGAAAAAGCTTTCTAGAAGCCTAAGTATTTTGTACTAATATAGTTTGTGTTATGTTTTTTTTTCCAGTTCAAACAATGGGTGATGGTGAGTCTGTCTACGTACAGTATTGTTTACATTCGTACTGATTTTAATTAACAATGTTATGCATTTAGCTAACAACTTTCTGTGTTGTGGCTTGGAAAATGACAATGCCCTGTGAATTTAATTATGATTGTAATGACATTAAAGTTCAACTTTCATGGTAAAGAGATTGCACAACAGTACTTGTGAACTATAAAGGAAACTAATCCATTGTGTGGCAGTGCCCTTATTGGTAAGCTATGTTCACAAGTGCAATCACAATGAAGATGCTAGTGTAAGCTGATCAGGTACTTTCTTTGCATATTGTCCCAATGTTGTCGTTCATGGGGTCATTTTGCAGCTGAAAGATGAGTCTCCTTGAGTGTCATGATTACAACACGATTAAATGAAAAAATACCTGTACGGTGTTGAGTGCATGCTCTCTCTGACTGACGGGACGTCTCTGGCACAGTGGATACCGGAGTCTCTCTTTGGATCTATTAAAATGTCAAATTAAAATAATGTTTAGGCCACACACCAATTTATATCAACTGAGGATAACTCCACTGAAACCAATGGATCTACAATAATTTACAGCAGAAAAGCACTGGCCTTGTGAGTTCCCTGGCTCTTTGGGGCATCCAGCAAATTACCCAATTGTAAATAAACTGAATAAATACTGAATAAAAAGAAAAACATACAAAAATTCCCAAACTATATTCCCATGTCATTTTGTGCTAAAGGAAAGAAGAAAATATGTTTTTGCATCAATAATAATAAAAACAAAAGGTTTCTGAGAAAGTGATTCAAAGTATCACAATAGCAATACTAAAATTGCATATAGTAAGCAACAAAATAATCGATTCTTGTGTCCTTATTAAAAAGGTCTCCATTTTTGTCTTTGTTTTCCCAAAAGAGAGCACTACACCAACTTATGAAACTACTACAACCATTCCTGAGACCATTCCAACTATGACGCCAGAGCCAACCACAACTTGTAAGCCCTATTTTCTCTTTGCTTTACTAATATTCTATCTATTTTATATTGTACCCACCTACTGAAAATATAGAATAGAATTTTACAGTTTAATGACCATATTCATTTACATGAAATCACTAGCATGATGACTGGATGATGGAGCTAGGCTGTTCTCAGTGGTGGCAGATGTGACAGAACAAGAGGTAATAGTCTCAAGTTGCAGTGGGGGAGATCTAGGTTAGGTACTAGGAAAAACTATTTCCCCCATTAGGAGGATGGTGAAGCACTGGAATGCGTTACCTAGGGAGGTGGTGAAATCTCCATCTTTAGAGGTTTTTAAGGCCCGGCTTGAAAAAGCCCTAGCTGGTATGATTGAAGTGGGGTTGGTCCTGCTTTGAGAAGGGGCTTGGACTAGATGACCTCCTGAGGTCTCTTCCAACCCTAATTTTCTATGATTCTATGACTGCAGAAGACTAAGCATATGAATAATAACGGTGGGTACCGTGAGCTTTGGAAGAAGGTATCATAGGAGAAAAAA